TGTTTCCTCACAGCATATATCGAATGTTGGATTGTAGCTTAGAGTACCACAGCATTTGGTTTTACCACCCGACTTCGACATCACTGTTTCCTGGCAGCATATATCGAATGTTGGATTGTAGCTTCGAGTACCACAGCATTTGGTTTTACCACCCGATTTTGATACCACTGTTTCCTGACAGCATATATCGAATGTTGGATTGTAGCTTCGAGTACCACAGCATTTGGTTTTACCACCCGACTTTGACACCACTGTTTCCTGACAGCATATATCGAATGTTGGATTGTAGCTTCGAGTACCGCAGCATTTGGTTTTACCACCCGACTTTGATGCCACTGTTTCCTCACAGCATATATCGAATGTTGGATTGTGGCTTTGAGTATCACAGAATTCGGTTGTTCCATTTGACTTTGATGTAATTGACAGCATAAACTGAATGTTGGATTGTAGCCTCGAGTATCACAGCATTCGGTTGTTCCATTTGACTTTGATGTGATTGTTCCTTCGCAGCATATACTGAATGTGGGGTTGTAGCTTCGAGTACCACAGCATTCGGTTGTTCCATTTGACAGTTGATGTGATTGTTCCTTCACAGCATAAACCAAATGCTGAATTGTAGCTTCGAGTACCACAGCATTCGGTTGTTCCATTTAAAGTTGATGTGATTGTTCCTTCACAGCATAAACCAAATGCTGAATTGTAGCTTTGAGTACCACAGCATTCGGTTGTTCCATTTGACTTTGATGTACTTGTTCCTTCATTAGACTTTGAAGTTGATGTGATTGTTCCTTCACAGCATAAACCAAATGCTGAATTGTAGCTTTGAGTACCACAGCATTCGGTTGTTCCATTTGACTTTGATGTACTTGTTCCTTCATTAGACTTTGATAAGATCTTTCCTCCACAGCATATATTGAAGGTTGAATTGTAGCTTTGGTTTCCACAGCATCTGGTTCTACCGCCAGATATTAAGAAGACCTCTCCGGAGCAGCATATTTGGAATGTTGGATCGAACTGTCTATTACCGCAAACCCCTCGACGGTTCCTTGCTTTTGGTTGGTCGGCACTTGTGTCAATGTTTACTAAAAATAATTGTAATATAATTTATTTGCGCGAGCATCATTAAATTATTATCAAATGCGCATATTAGATATTAGACTATCAAAATATTTCTGACCTATATAATAGTGTAAATATCTAAACATGCAAGCTTGAGGGCTTCTGAATATGTATCAACAAACTAAAAAAGTATAGTTACGAGACAGTTATTCACAAAAATTGAAATTGCGCCTTGTGCATGTTTTCAACCAATCCACCTCAAATTTTGACTAGTAGGGACCGTTCATTATTTAAACCTGTGGTTGGTACCGAAGAGATATGGGTTGGGTAATCAAGTTTTTGACTAGCTCATGGGTTGGAAAAAAAATTATGGCTGTCTGTCAGCTATAAAATTAAACCAAAGTTATGGCCAGAGTTGCAAAAAAGCTGCGGTAAAAATACTGTAAAGTAAAAGTATTGTAAAGTAAAAAAAAATCAATTGTAGTTGAATAGGCAGTTAAGGCTGACAAAGTTGTGGTGGTACTATTCTGATATAGTACCTATACCAGATGACTATGACATTGGAGAATACTGAGAAGACAATAACTGAAAATATTCTGTAAAATTAAAATGTGTAAGTGTCAACCAATAAAGGCACCTTAAGCCATTGCACCGCCAATAACAGCTAGGAGGCTATTACTAAGAGCTATTCTCATGGTGACAATAAGAAACTCACATTGAACATTATATTATTCAGAGATTATTTGGTTACATGATTCCAATATTTTTAGAGAATTAATTAATAGTTACAAATGAAATGAACCAACAATGCTGTAGCAACTAAACATTGTAATAATTATATAGATATGGCCAAGGTGAAATGTTGTAAACTGCCACAAAATTATAAACAAAGCTAGGGAAGAAATTTTTGCATGTGCGATGTGAGTCTGACTAAAATAATACAGTTTGATTTAATACAGATCGACAAAATGTATTGAGGTGCTATAATCGAAATCATTGTTTACATACCTGATACCCATACTGTCAATTCCCACAAACTATAAGATAATTTAGCACTTTGCTCCGGAAACAAGTGAGAGCATTCGCTGCCTTGCTGATTGTGAAATTGGGCGATTGGGTCACACTTCTAAAGACCTAAACACTCTCAAATAACTTCCAAAACCACAAGTACGGAAACATCAAATAGTACCTCTGGAATGTTGTTGCCATGGTTTTACCACTGACCTCTATATAATATGTGTACAGGTGGAAAATCAACAACTTCAGTCAGTTGGTATTCCTACATCAGTGATATTTACAGGAAGGTTGTGCTGCCCACTATGAACAAGTTGTCAACAATGTTGTTTCAAGTTTTGTTGACAACTTGTTCATAGTGGACAGCACAACCTTGTTCACGCCTGTCAATATCAACTGGGAACAAGTCGTTGATTTTCTCAATTTTTACGTGTGTACCACTGTGCTTTTTATTACAGATTCAGAAACCATCACATCTTGAGTCCATGACTTTTTTTATATTCTTTTATATTCAATATATCATATAGGATGTAGACGTGCTAGGTAAGGACTGTCCAATTTGTCTAAAGTATAAATCTATTACGGCAAATTATATATTAGAATCATGTACTGCATTTAACGGCACATCTCTTTCGAATTTTATGCTTTCAGAATCAGAATAAGACTTAAGTTTATATATACTCTAGCATATTGCTATTTGATGAAGCCATATTTTATTATTTATTCAATTTATTTTGAGGAAGGTTTCAAACTTTAAATTTTACCCGGAAGAAATTTGAACAGGTTGTGCAACTCTGATTAATTACCATGCATTGGAAAATATGAAGAAAAATCTATACCAAATCTGTACCAAAATAGACCATCAGTGATTGATGAAGGACTCTCGCTATCATTGATCAGCAGGAACGTGATTGCTTTTGCACACTCAGTGAGTTTGAGAGAGGTTTTAGAATTTACACAACTTGATTTCTGTCACTATAATCTTGTGTGTTTAAGTAGAGTAACACATGGGTTGGGTAAAAATTATTTTGACCAATGTCGAGGTTGGGTAAATAAAAAAATTACAATGTTTGTCGATTCTATTCGGTACCAACCCCAGGTATAAATAATGAACGGACCCTTATATCAAGGTTTCGAATTTTCCGGACGAGGGAAGAACGCACTCACTTCACGCGAAAGGTTTTGTTAAAGTATCATTTTAATGAAATCCCGCCAAAGTAAGCTTTTTGGAAAATCAAATGCATGATGCCTGTACAAAAATGTGTGGGGTAGCTAGCCAAGAGGTTTTCCTATTTCTTTTCGTAATATATAATTTTCTTTCTAAATCTTCGTTCTAATTGAGTAGTTTTACAGCCCTTGTTCTCGTACGTATTCTGTGAAAATTTGAAGAAAATTATGCAAACCGAGCTTAACAAAAGTGTTTGAATGGAGTATTTTTGCTGAAAATTCATCACGCAGAAACGAAGGCTATAAGTTTTCTAAATGACAGCAAGGTGACACCTTTGGGAAAGAAACTGATTGTTCTCACGGTATAGCAGTACTGCATAACAGTAAAACCAATCGCGCTTTCTTTCTCGGTTACATGAAGCATTTGAAAATCACCACATAGTTTTAGATTGTACTGCCTAAAGGCATATATTTTACTGTATTACTCAGTTTTCTCGAACAATGTAAACTAGCCATATACCTAATTCGCCGAACATAACTTCTGCCACTTCGAACATATCCTTAGTTCGTAATAGTCCTGTTCGAATCAGCATCCAAAACACGATTTATATAGTGTTATTTCAAGGACTTTTTCTGAATGTAAGGCCATCGCTCACAGTTGTTAACGTTAGAAGTATTTATCCCTTATTATAAATGCATTGGTCTTCAGTAAAATGTATTACTGCTCCTCCGTTTGGTTGAACACCTCGAAAAAGAACATATCAAAACTCCAAAGCGTGCAAAACTAATTTGCGGCACGCGTTATTACTGGAATTAGAAAATATGACCATGTGACGCTTATCCTTCAGCAGTTAGTGTTGAAGCCATGACTTTAGAACACCGTATTTGTAATGAAATCACTCTTTATTTTCACGTTTATTACAAATGTAGTTTTGTACAGTAAGTTACTTTCACGAGGAAGTTCAACTAACAACACAACTATCCCATCATGCATTTGTCTCTCAGTATTACGTCATACTAATATTTGGATAACATACAGTTTTATATTGAACTCAACACCCTCACTTGTTATCAGAATATAAACTAATTACCACAACCGAACACGATACTTTTAAAATTATCTAGTTTACATTTTGTGGGTGGCTTTGTTAGGATATCAGCTACCATATCTTGGGTAGGACAATATACGATATCGATCATGCCTTTAACATACATTTCACGTACAAAGTGGTATTTTATGTCAATGTGCTTAGAACGTTGTCTGTTAACTGGGTTCTTACTTAGTGCAATTGCCCCTTGGTTATCAACACTTACCTTCATACTCTGATGTACTTTCTTATGCATACCGTTTAACAATTGAGTTAGATACAAACACTCTTGAGCTGTATTTGCTAAAGCTACATATTCAGCTTCGCAAGTGGAAATGGCAACCGTTGGTTGCTTTCTCGACTTCCATGAAATCAGTGGTCCTCCTTCAGTTAGAGTACAACAGTAACCTGTAGTACTTCGCCTGTCTTCCAGGCAAGAGGCCCAATCTGAATCACTATAAGCAGTGAGCTGCAAGTCAGCATCAGATTTCTTAAAGCAGAGTTCATAATCCACGGTACCCTTTAGATACCTTAGGACATGTTTGGCAGCAATTAAATCTCCCGTTCTGGGGTTTGACAGAGTTTGAGACAGTCTGCTTACAATCCAACTTAAGTCAGGCCTTGTACAGGTCATGGCATAAATTAGGCTTCCTATCATTTCTCTATACTGTCTGGCGTTGGTCAATTCACCACAGTTAAATTCTAATCGTTGCTCACATGGGGTTAACCTGGGCTTGCAGTCTATCATTCCAAATCTCTCTAGTATTTTAAGAATGAATCTTTTCTGATTAATTTTTATTTCACCCTTGCTTTGCTTAAAATCCATTCCAAGGAAGAAAGTGATTCTAACTAGATCTTTCATCTTAAATTGTGTCTTCATACTTTCTTTAAATTCTTCCATTAACTGCATACTATCTGAAGCTATGATTAGATCATCAACCCAAACAATGACGATAACAATTTTATCATCAACTTGTTTCTTATATACACAGTGATCAGCATGGTTTCTGACAAAACCGTCATTTGCTAAATGCTCGTGTAACAATATGTTCCAATTTCTACCTGATTGTTTTAGACCATATAGCGATTTCTTTAGCCTATATACTAACCTCTCACCACTCTCTGAAACTTCTTCAAACCCTTGTGGCTGGTCTATGTATAACTCTTGAGTAATGGGGGCATGCAGATATGCAGTTTTAACGTCCATCTGGTGGACAATAAGATCATGTTTTACTGCTAACTGCATTAAGACCCTAATTGAAGTAATACTGGCTGTCGGGGCGAAAGTTTCTTGATAATCTATACCCTTTACCTGGCTGTAACCCTTCGCTACATATCTGGCCTTAAAGGACTCTATGCCATTCTGATCTTGTTTGGTTGTGTACACCCATTTTCCCCCTACTGAAGCTTTACCTTCTGGTAAAGTTGATAATTCGTAAGCATCATTTTCCTTCAGAGAGCTGATCTCTTCCTTCATTGCTTGCTCCCACTCCCTAGCTTGAGGTGATCCCATGGCTTCTGTGTAATTTTGTGGTAATCCACAAACTTTGTAGCAGTAATCTACACTAATGTGGGCACAATCGGCATTCTTAGGGAGGAGGGTGTCCTCTTCTAGGTATCTGGGAGGGTTCCTTTCTCTTTGAGGATACCGTTTTGTCTCACTGTCATTCTCAGTATGGCTGCAATGCCTTCCCTCACTATCCCTAGGCTCCTCATCAGGCACTGTATTTGGCGGCATTGCACTTAAAACAGGGAGGCTCATACTATCTAAGTCTGATCTAGTATCATGGTCAGATTTCTCATGTACATCACAATCCCTGCTGGACTCATCAGTTTGTGTGTGCTGTTCTACACTACATTTCTTGATGAATCTAATGAGTCGATGTTTCATGATTTTCCCATTTTTTTTTGGGTAGTACACTAGGTAAGAAGGGCTATTTTTGTCGTATCCCACAAATACCCCCTTGCTGCATCTTGAGTCTAATTTCTTATGCTCCTGTTCGTAAGCAAAACATTCAGATCCAAAGAACCACATTTTAGAAAGATCAGGTACTTTCCCAGTAAGGCTAAAGTAGGGTGTTGTCTTTGTTCTCTTATTAAAACATCTATTCCTAATGTGAGCTGCGGTTTGAATTGCATAGGGCCAGAGAGTTTTTGGTAACCCTGATTGAAGAGGAAGACATCTGCCCATTTCGAACAATGTGCGCCAGTGCCTTTCGGCGGTGCCATTCTGGTGTGGCGAGTAGGGAGCAGAAGTTTCATGTTTTATGCCACGCTCCCTTAGTAGTGTTTGAAATGCCTTACCTGTAAATTCTGAGCCATTGTCAGAACGGATGCAACTTACCTTGCCATAAGGAGTGATGTCTGCTAGAAATTTCTCTGTTGCTACAAAGGTGTCACTTTTACATTTCACAAAGTAAACAAATACTGCTCCTGAGAAATCATCAGTAAAAGCTATGCAGTACTTAAACCCCTCTCTTGATACAGGAGAAACTGGACCTGCCAAATCCACATGCACTTTCTCCAATGATTTTTGAGATCTTGCATCGGGAATCCTACTCCTGCTGTTTACAAATTTTCCTTCTACACATGTATTACAACCTAACTTAGATGACTCAATTTTACCTGAGAATTTCATGCCCTTAACTACCCCCTGTAGTTTTATAATATCTTCAAAATTGCAGTGCCCTAGGATTTCATGCCATGTGTTAATATCATACGAGAGATTTACTTTATCTACTTCACTTACGCTATCGTTCTCATGACTGTCTATGGAAGTCAAATAGTACAACCGTCCATGTTCTTCAATTTCAACAATGGTACCATCTTCAAGGGTTAGCTCACCAGTATCTTGGGCAAATCGAAGCTCGGCTCCATTTGATGTGGCTGCCTTCACTGAGAAAATATCTTGAGGATAGGATGGTATATATAAGGCGTTTTTCAGCACCGTTTTCACACATTTTCCATTTGTATCTTTCAGAAACACTTCAGCATCCCCTCGTTTCAATGCAATATTACTGGCTCGTGTGCCATCAGCCAGTTCAATGTAATGTTTTGATGGTTTAAATGTCATGTCTATTTGCTTTAAAATATCAGTAGTAACAATGTGAGAAGTGGCACCTATGTCAACCAACATTCCCATTCGATTGATTTTCCCTGTTGCTTCGTCGTTAACTTTGAATGCAAATGAATGTTCATCTTTAGAGGTGTTTTCTTTCTCCGACACCTGTTTGGCTTGGTCTTTGCTCTTTTGCTGACTTCTGCAGGTGCTATCCGAGTGTGTTGTACTCTTGTGATAGTTACACCACTTCTTCTCGCTCTTAGCAGGGCACTCTCTGACTAAATGCCCTCTTTTCCCACAGCCATAACATGTCATTGTTTGCGAAGGAAACTCAGCTTTCATTACCTGATCAACTTTCGGTTTGGTGTTGAGCTTTTCCGTTTCTTCGAAGCTCCTCAACATGCTCTTAAACTTCGCGAACGTTATCTCACTTGCACTTTGGGTCACATGTATCGAGAACGGTTTATATGAATCAGGCAGCCCCTTTAAGATCATAGCAATTATTAGCCCATCGCTTAACGTTTCTTTGGCGTTCTTAAGCGCTGTTATTGCTTTCTCGGCTCTTATTAAGTAATCTGTGACTGTCTCGTGAAGTGCTTTTTCAAGTGACGTTAGCTCAGTGTAGAGTGTGATGATTCTTGGTTTGCCTTGATTTGCATAATGGTCTCGGAGTATTTGTAAAGCCTTTCGGCCATCGTCGGTAGCATCCCTCATTACCAATGACAGACTGGTGTCGTCCAAACACTGTATAAGCTCGGCGTAGCATTCTTCGTTCTTTGTTGCGTCAGCCTCTTCTTCAGACGGCAGGATAGTATCCTTTAGTTTTAATAACCTCATGTGCGCGAGGAATTTCGCTTCCCACAGTTCGTAATTGCTTTCGTTTCCATCGAAAGTCAACCTTGACCAGCGTGATTCTCTGCTGGGCCCATAACCTGTTGAAGCCATGACTTTAGAACACCGTATTTGTAATGAAATCACTCTTTATTTTCACGTTTATTACAAATATAGTTTTGTACAGTAAGTTGCTTTCACGAGGAAGTTCAACTAACAACACAACAATCCCATCATGCATTTGTCTCTCAGTATTACGTCATACTAATATTTGGATAACATACAGTTTTATATTGAACTCAACAAGAACAATACCGACAAGTGACCAGGGCCGGATTAACGTCGCGCGAGGCCCGTGGCAAATTTTAGCGTGAGGCCCCCAAACCTCCCCATTTCTTCTTTTTATGAAAACCATTGAATTTAAAGACGCACAAAAGTGTTAAATAATTTTTTTTCAATATTTCAATTTATTTGCATCAATTATAAACGAGATAATGGCCTGCCTGGCGCAGTTGGTGGGTATAAACAGGATCATAATATAACAGCTCAACGCAACTAAAGATTATATGAACACGAGTATTGCATATTTTCCCGGGGCCGTGCTAGGGCGAACTGCCAAGCCTAGGGGCCCTAAATGCGCGAGGTCCCTAAATTCGCGAGGCACCTAAAATGGGTGTATCCCAATAGAAAATGGCCGTGTTCTCGTGAAAATGGGCGTAGCACAGTAAAGCGCGAGGTCACGGCATTTGCCGTATTTGGCACGTGGTTAATCCGGCGTTAAACGAGCAACAAGCTTTCATTTTCTTTAAACGCGACGTATGGGGAGACAATAATAATTTGTGATGTCGCACTGGGCCAAAATACTCAATGCTGTATTTTTGGGTACTAGTACTTGTGAAATATAATAAGATCAATAGACATTAGTGTATCAAAATAAGGTAATTTTACTGATTATTTTAACTGTGCATCAAAGTAAACACACATTATTCTAAACTACAGTATTTTCTATATGCCTATAATTTGAGTTTGAGGTGGTAGAATATATAATAAAATAACAAATCCTTGTATGGATAAATGTTCATTTCACACGCACGCTATTAACAGCTGCTTAATAATTAACTTATGTATTCGTAAACATTTATACTCGATAGTCGATATGTAAATACTAAATGGTACATTATATGGATCAATGCAAACTGGAACAAAACAACAATTGTCAATTGAAGTTCTAATTTTGGGAAATTTAGTAACAAATATAAAATCCCTAAACAGCTCATCGATTTGTATGTTTGCGCTATTAAAAGTAGACAATATTGAACAATGATCTGAAGTTGTCATGCAACTGACAACAATATTATATTTCATAATACCTGTATATGATGATATTTTACAAATATCTCGGGATTTTTGGACCAATTTTAAACTAAGCAAGGCAAAAAGTCTCCATTCAAGAATATATCTTCTTCTCAAAAGGTAAAATACTTAAAATAGCCTACTTGATTAAATTGTAAGTATTTATATCAATTGAAAGCTTGCTTATTAAAGAGCCAACTAGTAGCAGCATGATCGATTTGGAGCTTTATCGCATGGTGAAAATCGGTTTTGTTAAGAGGGTATCGTAAATGAATTAAGATAGTGTGCTCCAAAACTACGATTATATCTATTCCTAAAAGTAACTCAGATTTCCTGTAAGTCATGTATACCGTCTTTCGAATAACCGAAAACAAAATTTTTAGGGTTTTAGATCGATTAGAAACGGTTGTCGTCGTGAAATTTATCTGTAAAATCAGCGCATATTTTCCCAGAAAAAATGGCGATTTAGGGTGGTCGTGTTAAAACGGCATTTTCTCAAAGTTAAAAAAAGCATTTGACCTAAAAAAATATATGGTGCATTTTCCGATATAATAAGGTATATCTGGGCAAAATTTGAGCAAAATCGATTTTTCAGTCGTGGCCGCGAAATGTCTCATATGTTCGATTTTTACTGACATTCACTCTTAAGTCTTAGAACTAGTTGTATATAGCTTTCTAAAAGTTTATGATTGTCAGTAATCAATGTAAGGTCTTCAAAAGTGGGTTTAGTCATGAAAAGTTGGTCAGGTTCAAATTAACTTTACAGTAGTAACTCTCTATTTAGGAATCTCAAAAATCAAGATTACCGTTTGAACACGTCATTTTGATAGCATCAATTTCCACTGTGGAAGGAAAACTTATTACAAACTCTTGAGGAAACATTCCTGTCGTCGACCAGAACGTGTCATTATTTCTGTAAAAATAGGAACAAAACAGCAAAATCAAGACAATCCTGTAAAAATCTTGCTTCTTCACCTTATTCTCGCATTTTAGATCGGAGACGTACTGTGAAGTTTGACAGTTCACGAAGAGTGCGGGAATTAAATCTGTATTTACATTTAGACAAGGGTGGTTTCCAAACACGAGTTCTATATAGTGTTCACATCCCGATTTATTTAATGGAAGCGTATATATGTAATGTTTACAACATGAGCGGCCGTGTTGTATCAGATATACAAACTCGAGCCGAAGGCGAGAGTTTGTATATCTGATACAACACGGACGCGAATGTTGTAAACAACTTAAAAAACGGCTCATCTTTATGAGTTCATTGGCGAAGTAATTTTAAAAATAATCGTTGTCTAAGCCCAGAAAATCAAAGTTAAAGTTTATGTAAATCAACATGAATCTGTATCACATATATACAAATACGACACGGTTATGATTTTTCTTTGTGTTTTCTTCATGAATTATTAATGAGTTTTTTAAGAACATTCCCAATGTCTACATCGATAATATGTAATACTTGAATGTCAAGATCTTTTCACAAACGTATATGTCACAAACAACAGATGTGAATGAAGACACTGTGTGTAAACTCAAAATTGCGTTGTCGGGCATGATTTCATGTTTGTTGTAGCGTTAAGGACAAATACTTTCAGTTGATGATGTCGATAGATGATATGTTGTGAACCGACTACAAAGTCGTCATTCGCATTTCGCCATCTCAGAAACCGGAGGACAAATCGTGGTGAACGTAACTTTATCCATATAACCACAAGACCCACGAAGAAACAATACTGTTACGACAATGGGTGACAACGAAAAAGCAGTGACATTTTGGAATTAACGCGACAATGCTATAGTCGGGGGGGCGGTGGAAAAATCGCTTGTGAGGAGTATTCCACGAAAGAATTGCCCAAGGTACGTCATCCTGCACATTACCTCATTCATGCATGGGCACAGACCACGTTGTATCGTGCTGTAAATTTCTATCGTTTTTACTTGGTAAGTAGACTTAATTTTCTTATTGATATACTGTTTTAAACGTTTTTCAGTGTGGATAAAGATATTTATCGTAGGATTCCTTTTACAAGGATTATATTTCAGTCTAGAACTCGGAAGAAAGCTTTCCAATATGGGAAAGGCATTTTATATAAGTCCAAAGTCCAACTTAAATACCAAACAATGATGTCTAATTTCGTTAATTGTAACTCGGGGTGTTCTAAGATGATTTGGAATAAAATCAAAACTTATATATCACTTTATAACCGTGTCGTTTTTGTTTCAGATACTGATCTATATTATTGACAACTTTATATCACAAGATTTAATAAATGAGGTACAATACCGGGTGGCCCAAAAAAAAGTACTCCTGTTTGATTCGTAATAACATCTAAACAAGTATAGCTTTTAAAGAGAAATAACTTGCATCAAATAGAGGAAGGACTAACTTAGACTTTGATATATTACAGTTGTATTTCACTTAAAAATTCACGGAGATATTAATCTTTAAATTCGGGAGGATATTTCTGGCTGTGTCTGAAATATGCAAAAATCGGCGTATCAAATATTAATCAAGATTTGCCCGACTGAAACATGCACTATTACCAGTAAATAAATGACACTTGACAAATTGTTTATTATGGAACAAAGTATTATTATATCTACAAAATACAAGCAAGATTCATTCGTCCGAAATTCGCGTGTGTTCCTAGCACGAATACGTTTCCTTATTTCATGAGACCACTGCATCGCGAAGGATCGTCATTGGATCGTTCGTAGTTCTGAATTAAGGCATGCTGTCACAACGGAATTGTGAAGCTCTTCTAACTTCTGCAACGTTCTGAAATCTTGTTAAGAACACCCAAACTCTTTTGCCGTTTCTTAATCTTGGCAAGTTCATGGAGTAAACTGAGAATTATATGAAACACAATCAAACCATACAACTCCATAAGACATAACAATTAAGCAACTCCCCAAAGACATGCAACATTTTTGGAACAAAACGTAACAAAATAGTAGCGTTGATACGGTGATGTGTATTTGCAAAAAGCAATATTATTTCCTTCAATAAAGAATATTCATCCTGCTCTAACCGAGAAATAATCTACTCAGTCTGTTTGAACCCATTAAAAACATAAAAAATTAGGCTATTTAAGAATACGAAAAATTTAAGCGCCTGCCTTCCATGGTCAGTCTTTCATGTACATTTAAGTTTGCAAAGACCTAATATTAAATACTTGCATAATTTCGAACTTTCATATTTCAGGAAACAATGAGCTAAGACTTACATGTAAGATGTCTAAATCTACGCCATATCCCTTACAAACCTTAACGATAATTCGCTGAAATACAAGCTAGCCTAATATGTCATTAAGCAAACAAACGCTGGAGTTAATATTTGATATGCCGATTTTCGCTAATTTTAGACACATTCCAAAATATGCTCCCATTTTTAACATTAATATATCCGTGAATTTTTAAGTTAAATACAACTGTAATATATCAAAATCTAAGTTAGTCCTTCCTCTATTTAATGCAAGTTATTTCTCTTTAAAAACTTTACTTGTTTAGAAGTTATTACGAATCAAACAGGAGTACTTTTTTTTGGGCCACCCGGTATTGTTCGAAATGATCGTGAAAATGGCAAACGGGGCGGAGGAGTGCGCGCTTTTATTAAGTCCAATATACCCTTTTCCACCCTTCCTAATTTTAGTGTCCCCGACGTCGAAGGTGTGTGGTTAAAACTCAGACCTTACCGACTACCTCGCGAACTATCCTGCATCTTTGTTGGCGTGATTTACCATCCACCACTAGCAGACAACAATATCCTGCAAGATTACCTTATTTCCACGGTAGATAAATTATTATTAGAGCATCCTAACGCAGGAATTATGATATTGGGTGATTTTAATCATTTTGACTACAAAACATTATGCCGCCATTCCTTCTTGAAACAAACTGTTAAGAAACCTACCAGGCAATCAGCCATTTTAGATTTGATCTTAACCAATATGCACCAGTGGTACAACGAACCTGAAATCTTACCAGCAATTGGCTTGTCTGACCACCTGTCCGTTCTTGCTACTCCTGCTGTTCAACCTAAACAACCCAATAATATTATTAAGAAAACTGTACGTAAAACAAAACCGTCTAGCATAACATCACTTGGAAAATTCGTCAAGTCATTGGACTGGAGTCACCTCTACCGCTTACCTTCTTGCCAAGATAAATGCGACCTTTTCTACAACCTACTTATGTTAGGACTAGATACCTTCCTGCCAAAGAAAAAGGTTGAAGTTCATTGTAGGGATAAACCATGGATCACTCCGGATTTAAAAAAGCTTATATCAGACAGACAACATGCATTAGCTGCAGGAAATCGTAATTTGTATAATCAACGTAGAAATGATGTCCGCACAGCAATAAAACGAGCAAAACCTTCCTATTTTCAAACTCATGTTAAACATCTTAAAACCGCTGATCCATCGAAATGGTGGAAAGCCGTAAAAAATCTGGCAGGCTACACTTCAGATAAGTCCTTTCATTCTGTGATCAATGACAACCGAATATTAGAAGGTAAAAACCTAGCAAACGCTATCAATGAATCATTTGTTGCTGTTAACAAGTCTATGCCCCCTCTTTCCGAATTCGATAAACAATTCCTTATAGCGCCTTGCGAATACCACATCCCAGTCGAACTAATTGAACGTCGCTTAGAAAAAGTTAAAATATCAAAAGCGCCAGGCCCTGATAGTATACCTAATTGGCTACTAAAAGAATTCTCGGCTGAACTTGCTACACCAGTGGCATCTATCTTTAATGCCTCCATTGCCCAAGCTCAAGTACCTTCACAATGGAAAGCGGCTGACATTATCCCTATTCCAAAGACCCACCCAGTACAGGATATTAACAATGACCTCAGACCAATATCTCTCACCGCTACGTTATCTAAAGTTTTAGAGTCATTTAATGCAGAATGGATCCGTGATAGCATCTGCCAGAAACTCGATCCAAAACAGTTCGGAGCAATTCCCGGCTCCTCTTCAGTTGATGCCTTAATTAGCTTACTCCACTCCCTATACGCTGACTCAGATGGAAATGGTAAAACTGCGTTTATTCCTACTGGACTTCAGCAAGGCTTTCGATCGGATTAACTATAAGATACCAATCACAAAGATGCGCAAATTGGATATAAACCCGTCCGTTATCAATTGGGTAATTGACTTTTTATCCGGAAGGAGACAGCGGATTAAAATGGGTAACGTATTTTCAGATTGGTCTGCAGTAAACGGTGGGGTACCCCAAGGAACATGAGTGCTCGGTCCTATACTCTTCTTAATTATGATAAATTACTTGGTTACTGACCATGATCGAAGGTGGAAATTTGTGGATGATACAAGTGTCTCTGAAGTTATTAATAAAGGTGAGCAAGGGAAGATGCAATCCCTTGTTAATGCGATAAACAGCTGGTGTATAAAGAATGACATGAAACTTAATCAATCTAAGTGCAAAGATATGATCATCTCGTTTGCGAAAGATCCTCCAAAACTGGACCCAATCTTCGTAAACAATCACGAACTAGTTCCTGTATCTTCGGCAAAAATCCTAGACACTTACATTTCCACAGACTTGAAATGGAACACACACATAAACTATATTGTATCCAAGGCTTCCAAGCGCCTATATTTTTTACGCATATTAAGGCGGTTTGGACTTGATCATACATCCCTTTTAACCATCTATACTACCTGCATAAGATCAGTCCTCGAATACGGTTGCCAATTATGGAACTTTGGTGCTTCCCAGTACCTTTCTGATGACGTCGAGCGGGTCCAAAAGCGAGCACTAAGAATAATTTATCCTGACCTATCTTACAGGAAGGCCTTGGAAGTTATTCCGCTTCCAAATATTTCACAAAGACGAGATGAACTTTGCAGATCACACTTTAAAAGAATGACTAAACCAAGTCATAAATTGTACGATCTTCTCCCTGACAAACGTACTAACAATCTTAGAAATAACGACAATTTTACACACATTTGGTCTTGTACCAACCGTTTTAAAAATAGTTATATACCAAGTAGTGTAGTATCTTTTAATACCTATAAGTCTTAATAAACTATATAATATATAATCATATCTTAATTATTAGTCTTTAACTTGTAATTTTATAAACTGTATTTTTAGAACATTAATGTAAACCGAGCAATTCAGCTTTGTAGCTGCAAATCGGTTTTTTGTATAATAATAATAATGGAAACTTTATTTATTGATTATTAGGATATATACAACTACAATGATAAACCTCGCTTTACAGGTAGTTTATCAATGTCTACTTGAATTGATACTATATATTTATTGTACAATAATTATTTTAAGAAGGATTATATTAACAATAATTTTGGGTTATCCCACACCTTGTTTCGTTTACAAAATACATAATATGATGTTCGTATGCATATGTTCACGATTTGCTTTTTTATGTATTTACTATACTTGGCATCACATTTAAGGCAACTTAGCATGCCATCGAAATTTTCACAAGATCGGCCAAAAACTCCGAGGGTACTCCAGGATAAATTGACGAACTTGACTTTATCATAATCTGCTTCCTGCTCATTGATTAGATCACGGTACTTTTGACGCTTACGATTGGCGTTAACTAGCAGATTGGATTCATAACCGACTGTAAGCTCGAGGATGTATAGACATCTGTTTTCAGTCACCAGCAGAAGGTCAGGTCGTAAACGATCTCCCGTGATAACAGATGGATTCATAAAACCAGGAATGTCCGCGTAAAGTGTGGAATTTTTCACAGCAGTAACTGCCAGTAAGAGTGGATGCGAGGAAATTTAAAACAGAATCGTGTCGCCATGTAAACCGGCCTTCGTCTAAATATGTCTTACATCCAGCAATCACATGGAGCAGCGTTTCAGGTGAGGAGCAGAAAGAGCAATCGGACGTTGATGATAGTCCCCATTTTGATAGGTTCTTTCGTGTTGGAAGTGTGTTATTGATATATCGGATGGTGAAGTTAAAAATGTTTTTCGGAAGTTTGCTCTGAACGGATGACCATAAAGAGTTGAATGTGGATGTGGAATGATTCATGATACTGGAAAAGAAAGAACCTTGCGAAATGAGGTGGTTTTGAAGTCTTTGTTCGTTTTCTTTTCTAACTGCCTTAAGTACGTCTTTTGTGTCTTTGTAAATGTCATACTGTATGTTCTTGTTGGTGCTCGTCACCGCCCATAGATTGTTAATATCTACGTTTGGTGAGTATTTTAAAGCTGATCGAGAGACAGTTTGACATTGGATAAATTTTGTCGAAGGGAGAATAATATTCAGACCAAATTTGTTTTGTGGAAGCAACACGTTGCTAAGGGTTGCAGAGACAGGAAGTTCCAGTCATTTTCGGATATATTTTGTCGCAATACTGTCTAACGTTTCGCAGATCCAGGTCTTAGATATATCAGAAACAGTGAAGTCCCAGGATATCTTTGACAGCAAGTAACGACTGTATAGTAGAATTTTATTTTTCGGGTGTAAAGGTAGTTCATTAATTTTATTCATGATGTCATTAAACACGTCGAGTAATTCCGATTTGTGTTCCTCATCAGACATATTGAAATCGAAATAGCGACCTAAGTAACGGAAAGATTTGCCCATTTCGGTTCTGGGTACAAGATCGTTATTAACGAAAAGCTTGGGTAAATACTGGATAGATTTAGTTAAGTGTTTTTTAATGCCAAATGTTGAACATTTGTCAACGCGTATAATCATATTAGCCCATTGACACCAGATTGTAAAATAATAATAATAATAATAATAATAATAATGGAAACTTTATTGTAATCCTACACATTAAAATACATATAAATTTGATAGTATATATAACCTGATAAAACTAACTCATGTGTTTCTCTCCAATGTAAACATAGGGCAGTCCACAGAGATTACAGACATCGCTATAGTAGTAGATAGTTAGGATTAATAAAACTTTAAGATAGGCGGAGATGTCCATTGTTTGTTACGGCGTACATATATATAAAATGAGGCACGCATAGCTACTTCCATACACTTTTCAATCATTCTCTTATAATTAATGTTTGTATTTTTAAACACACTGTATAAGTCATCTATATGTTTTGTTACTAGTCCAAGTGTTGTAAATTCAACGAAAATCTTTCTCCAGTGTCGAAACCTTTTCTTGCAATCATTTTGAATATCCCTATATTTGCTGATCTTTAGGTTCCTGCTCTTTTCAGAGTTTGTTTCAAAGCAACACGTCAATTCCAAAATGAAGATTCTGTCATCTTTTATTAGTACAATGTCAGGGCGGAATGAATGGAAGAATTCGTTAGGATTGTCAAAATTGTCTAGATCAGCATAGATTCGAAATCCGTATTTCCTTAGTTGAGATACATAGTGAGATACAAAGTGCAAAGCCCTTCTACCTAACCCACCCTGTCAACTTTCATTGTTTGAGGAAACCGGAGTACCAGGGAAAAATCCATGACTTTCGGCAGAGCGTTAACTTTTACTCTTTTCACATGAGGACTGGGTTCGAGTCGCATTGAAAAAGTTCTCACTGAGGCTTGAACCTGCAGCCTCAGAGGTGAGAGGCAAGTGCGCTAACCACTTGGCCACTGAAGCCGCATAAATATAAATTAAGAAGCCCCTTAAATTTGATACAATTGTATTTATTTGATACAATTGTTGCAACAAAACCTTTCTATAGTCTGCGCTCTGATTAATAACTTTTTTCAATATTTTCAATAGAGGAGAAAAAGGATAGGATTGCAAATCTTATGAAACAAATAAGAGCAAAGGAGAAGAATTCCCCAAAAGACGAGCAAAAAACAAGTACAACAAGAAAAAAGAGCAAGCAAAGCAGAAGTAAAATGGGGAAGACTCGTAATATAAACTACGGTTGGTTGCATCGAACATCCAGTGACAATGCATACAAACAACTTAAAAGGCTCGAAGGAGCAAGTGTACGTACCGTTCCATATGACGAAGAAGAAACATATTTTACCCTAGATTTTCTTAAGAATGAAGCATGTCGTCTATTTTTTCCTGAGGATTTCGAGATTGAAATTGGCAGTTTTTCTCAGGAACCAATCCTCGCATTTGTTGACACAAGAGGTAATCCCTGTTCTTATTTGGAATATCTCCGTGACCGAGGTCTTTATCCCAGTAAATCGTACATTTATCTTATGACTACTGCACGTGGCGACAAAAACACGGGCACACGTGATAATATTAGTTCTGAGCCAAAAGCAACTAAGCAACACACGGATATGGATGATGAGAACGAAAGTGAGGCCGATGCTACAAATTCAAAACATGTTGCACGACGTCTCCAAAATAGCGAAAGCAACGAAGCTGAATGTGAAATTAAGGACCCTGTTAAGAAGGACGACCTTGTTAAGGATGGTAACATATATGGAGTTTGCATTGATGGTATTGACGTTACACCATCAAAAAATCAAATTACCATAGAATATGAAGAACTTACAGAATTCTCATACAGTGAGGTCACTATTCGGTCTTTGGCAAATTCTTTGGAACAGTGTTACTGGGACAAAAGTCTTTCTGATCCATTTATAAGAAATGAAGGATTCGATAACTTTTGTCCACTCGAACATGGGTTTACTGTCACTGCTATTCATAAGGCAGATACGTGTTATCTTGAAAGAGTATTTAGTCCTTCCTGTGAGAGTTTTGAAGAGTCAACTTCTCGGTTCTTTTACCCATGCCGGGATAACAGCTCAAATGATATTATTATTCACCATCCGTTGGAGATATGGGGGTATGATGAAAATAGACTTATGTTGGGCGTAGTAACATCATTCATGGACAATCCCGAAGTCGAATATGTTTGGTATAATGGCGGTGATATCGCAAGGCAAGGACATAACCTATGTTGCATACCTGTAAATGAACCTGGTATATATAAAGTGGAGGTAAGAGTAGACGGGAAAGCTGAAATGTCAAAGCCAATCAAAGTTGAACTACTAAAAAATTTAGAAGATCCGCCTACTGATGAAAAGAAAAAAAATGCAGAACCAGAAGCTAGTATAAAATCCCCTCATTTTCTTCCTTTTGTTGATAAAAATCAGGTCACATTTACCAACGAAATCGGAAGGGGGTCGTATGGGGTGGTTTTCAAAGGGGTTTGGTCGGGTACTGATGTCGCTATTAAAGACATTAAGGTTAGAAATGCTAAACGCCTGAAAAGTGTTATGGAAACGGAAGTCCAAGTTCACACTATGGTGCGCCATCCGAATATAACGCAGATCATGGCCGTTTCAATGGAGAAAAACCATTTATATATTGTATCGGAATTTGTCAATGGTGCCAATCTCGAAGAATTGTTATTTGGGGAAGACGTCGAAGTAAAAGAAAATATTTCGGAAAAGAAGATTTTCATAGCAAAGCAGGTCACTCAAGCCGCCGCCTACTTACACAATCTCAGTCCGCCTATCGTGCACCGTGATATTAAACCTGCTAACATAGTGGTTGCTAAAGATTCATACGTTACCAAGCTTTGTGATATGGGGTTAAGTAAACTGAAATCTGCAACAATGCAAGCAGTGACCGCAACAGGAGTTCCTGGCACTCCCCACTATATGGCCCCAGAATGTATTCTTCGCAAAAAAAAATCTGATCTAAATTCGGATGTTTGAACTACTTACCCACAAGGACTGCTGGGAAGACCTTATTGAGGAGTTAGGCGATATAGAGGATTCAGATGATAACTACGAAGTTAATTGCATGATGTCTATATTTCAAAGACAAAGTGTTCCTAAATTGTTGGGACTTCTCTCCGATACACATTCCACAATATTAACGGACTGCTTTAACTACGAACCCTGCAATCGACCTCGTGCAATTGACCTAGTCAGTGCATTTTCAGTGTAGTAACTGTTTTAGAAACATTTACAACTGCTGTTTCCGGAAGATAAATTTGACTGCCTATTAGCTCTTTTCGCAATGTCTCGTGCAAGGATAGGAGCCAATATATCGCACTTTAAACATGTCCTATGATGTTGCAATATATATAATTGTAACGCAACTATAGCATACCTAACTGACCTCTAATATTAATGAATAATAGAGCAGGGAGCCGGCTTGAATTTTGTTGCTATTTTGTTGTCATTAATTTGAGTACACCCTCTGTTATCGATTATTGCAATTAAAATTGTTGTCGTTGTTGTTAATAATTAATTATTAATTGTTCTTTCATTAACAATCAACAATTGGTTGTTCTAATCAATATCAGCAAATGAAAGCAATTGAGTTAAATTGTTAATATTCACAATGAAATATCAAATACGTATATACTTATATAACATTGTGTATTTATATTGCACTATGTAGTGTTGAATGATTTCCTAAAACGGAACAAAAAATGAACGGACATCGGGTTAATTGCACAAACTAGAGACTTAAGCATCTGCAAACTGCATCAAGCTGCTTAACGCAGACGCGTGCTTATTTGGATCACATGCACAACGTATGTGATCTCGAAGTTGAAACACCACGCATCAGGTTGAGGTATTTGTATAATATATATTTGATTCTGTATAGTGTCATTCATGAACAGCGCTATATATAACGCTATATATTGCGCTAACAATATTCAACAATTAATTTTGGCTGTGTCTGCTTTTTTTTGTGCAACCATTTTAAGAATGTTGATTAGAGGATGAAGTGCCTGAAAAGGCAGCATGGTATCAGCTAAAAGTTTCATAAATCACTTTTATTAAAAATATCAATTTGAGCCACACTTTCATATAGACACTATGACTCCTCTATTTACATTTGTGCGTGGAGTGCACGAGTACGTCTTCCTAATACAATTAAATTAATAAAACCCGATTTCACACCTTTATCAATTTTGGTAACGACTGTTTACCAATTGAACAATGTCAGAAAATAGTTTCAATGCGTCGTTCACATCAGCAGGAGGAATAAAATTCGGTATTAAAAGTCTAATCAATTCCTCCACGTTTGGGTCATAGTCGGGACAATTTTCCGTGTACAATTCCCTACAAATAGTAATATCTTCTGTGTTGGCATGGATAAGGCAGTTTCTTTTATTATATATCTCAGGCATGAAAAAAAGCACATCAGGCTTCCCTGAATTTAATTCATGTCGAGGTTGAGATTGAATGGTGTGTGTATTCCATAGTTCAGCAACGAGGAATAATTCTTTACGCAGTATCGGCATGAAAAGGAATTTTAGGCATTCGCTTAAAACTGGATCGTCAATGTTGATGCCTGAGTCACGAAGATCTTTAAAAAAATTCATCCACCACCCTCCTCCACCACTCCGAAGCTTAGACCACCATGATTCAATACGTTGATTACTACTGCTTTTTCCTTGGATAAAACTTTTTGACCCTGCTAGATTGTCCTCGTTATCCCATCTAAAGAGTTGTTGTAAGTCACGAACTACGACATTTTCTGTTCCTTTATCGCTTCTTACTAGTCTTGGAACCCCTCCTAATTGTTGAACGGTGTCTAAGTAATGCCAAGCAATGAATCTCGGATTCTTGTTTGTGGAGCCAACCTCCAACCACATTCGCCTGGAATAACCATCAATTGCACCGTGAACATAAAATCCAAATGCAGCTAACTTGTCCCAACCATCTATATGCCAAAGAAAGTTTGGCCCAGGATTTGTGTATTTTCTTCTCAGTCTCCTACTTCTTCTTTGATCAACGCCTACTGGATCAATAACACGAATATAGGTCATAACAATGTCTCGAGTCACATTCAAATTGTATTTTTGTCTCAGGCGTTGTGTTAATTGCCTGTAGCCCAAAAATGATCCGGATGAACTATCCAGTTCTCGCAAAATAGCGCGTATGATTGACTCCACCGATGAATGATTCCTTCTACTCGCTCTTTTTAAATTTAGTCTTTTTAATATTCGTTTGATCGTGCGTACACACAAAACAATTCCATGATGTAGAGCCAGAAAGACAGCTATTTCATTATGGGAATAACCTTGTTGAAAATAATGTCTTATTAAATCGTCTTTTTCCATAGCAGGGTTGGCCTGTGGTAGTGCTGGGGTGTAGTTTGGCAGGACACCAAAACACCCATGTACCATAAAAAATGCTAAAAGGATGAGATACCTGCGATAAAAGAGAAATTCGTTATAACATTTTTATTGCACAATTTATTGGACATATTGGCATGTTCTTAATATTTTAAATTAATCTAGCTTCAATAAAGAGTTCGGGCTAATCACATGTAGTTCCTTAATATCTCCAATGATATTTTTTTACAATCAATGTTCCCCGCATTAGTTAACATGCTTTACCATGTCATGATAACAATTAATACCAAGTTGTATTACGGTCTAATTAAGTACATTAAGATTGCTATTTTGCACTTACCGTATTCTTATTGTTATGTTATATGATGTTATATGTATTAATGAAACTCGACTTGATGCTACGGTTCTTAATCACGAAGTTGGAATAAATGGTTATGAAATCGTAAGGAAAGATAGAAACCGAAACGGTGGGGGAGTTGCTATTTACTTAAGAAATTCTATTAATTATAAAGTAAAAGAAGAGCTAATGGTCTTGCGATCTTGAAATAATTACAATTGAAATCTCTAAACCTAAATCAAAATCCTTCTTGGTAAGTTGTTGGTATAGACCACCTGATTCCTCGGTAGAAATTTTTAATAACTACGAGAATGTCTTGCGATCTTGAAATAATTACAATTGAAATCTCTAAACCTAAATCAAAATCCTTCTTGGTAAGTTGTTGGTATAGACCACCTGATTCCTCGGTAGAAATTTTTAATAACTACGAGGAAATCGTTAAGAAAATGGACTCTGAAAATAAGGAAGTAATACTGATTGGAGACTTCAACTGTGACTGGTCTCAGATTGTAACCAATAATACTAACTCACAAACAAAGAAACTTGAAGAACTTACTAAAACTTTACAATTTGAACAATTAATTAAAGAGCCTACGCGGGTAACTGAGAGCTCTAAGACACAAATCGATCTACAATCTTGGACAAAACCCTTGAGACCATTTCAGCTAATATTACAGTTATTGAACATTGACAAAACAAACTTTGTCCCCCCCTCCCCCCAGTTCAATGTTGTGAACAACGCCGAAACAACTTTTGGTAATATACCATGATACAAGATCAACATTGAGTTGGAGGAGCGGGGGTTTAAGAATGGCAACATGATTCAACATGGAGTTTATCATAAAAATGCGCGAATTTTCTATGGGGGGGAAATAGTCTCAACCAGTTGTGTCCAAGATTGTAGCTTTCACAAATAAACCAGAAATTGTTGTTAACACCGGTGTGGTTCACTTAGGACTTAGCGATCATAGTCTTATTTTTATTCAAAGAAAAATTTCAATACAACGAAAAGCGCCCAAAATAATTAAAACAAGGCAATTTAAAAATTACAATGTCGGCGATTTCAAACAAGATCTGGGAATTAGTATGCAAACAATTTCTATAACTAATGACCCAAATGAAATGTGGGATGAATGGAAACACATATTTCTTACGGTGGCAGATAGGCATGCACCAACGATTACTAAAAAAGTAAGAAGTGAATATGCTCCATGGATTACCAGTGAAATTAAAAATATGATGCACCGTAGGGACTTCTTGAAAAGAAAGGCAGTAAAAACTGGATCTAAACAATTTCATGACGCTTTTATCAAAGCACGAAATGAGCTTAACAAATTGATTAAAAGAACAAAGACAGACTATTTTACAAATACTCTTAACAACTGTGAAAACAATCCAAAACAGATGTGGAAAACAATTAATAAGCTTACCAATAAAAATTCGAAAACGACTATTAAGATAACGACTAAGCCAAAGTGCTACAGATGTCTCTTCTATAACAAATATCTTTAATACATATTTCAATGAAATCGGAATGAATTTAGCCAGCAACATGGAGCAATCTACAAGGTCACCCGAGACATATCTTTCGAGCTGCAATTCACAATTTCAGATACAGAATGCTACTGTAATAGAAGTTCATAAAATACTGTCCTCTATTAACGTCTCTAAGTCAACAGGGCACGATGGAATATCTAATAAACTTCTAAAAGATTCAGCTGATATAGTATCTTACTCTCTTTCATTAATATTCAACACATCCATAAATACAGGTATATTCCCAAACGATTTCAAAACAGCAATAATCTCACAAATACGCAAAGCAGGATGCAAAACTGAATGCAATAACTATAGGCCAATCTCAACCTATCTATCGTTGCCAAAATTTTTGAAAAACTTATTACCCAACAACTAGAAACTTATCTTGAAACGAATGGGTTACTTGTACACAAGCTGGTTTTAGAAAGAAACACTGTACGCAGACTTCTCTCCTTAGCATTACAAACCAATGGTTTATTAACATGGATAAGGGAAGTTTGAATGGTGTTATCTTTCTTGACTTAAAAAAAGCATTCGATTGTGTTGATCATAGTAGAGGTGTGCGAATCCGATCCGATCGGATCGGATTCGGACAGTAAATTACTCGGATCGGATTTCGTTTTGTTTCTGTCGGATCGGATCGGATTTTGCAGGTTTTTTGTCGGTTCGGATTTGATTTTTCTTGTATCACGTCGAATTATTCGAATATTTTTACAAATTGAGAAAGTTCTATATTCTGCAGCGGTATTCCACTTTTTACGTTACAAATGGCATCAGAATTCACAATGGCTTTGAGCATAAAAGTAATTCCATAATCCATATAGTCCATACAAACTACAAAGTCAAAGTAACGTTTTGCTCGCTCGCGAAATCGCGAATAACGAATGCCATTATGCCACCCAAATTTGGATTTTGGACGTATATTTCTCAGTTACGTACGGGAATTGGATATATAGGAAATTTAGGAATGTTGTGTTTTTTTGTTTGGTTTGTTAGGTTTATGTATCATGAAGCCTGACAATGAGGTTTATTAGTGATAAACTTTAAGATGTTTTAAAATGTAAACCTAGCTCAAGCTCATGATTTATTATACTGAATAAAACATTTTTGACCAGTTGGGTTTTTTTTCTATGCTAATTCTAATAAAATATAAACTGCTGTTACTGTGTACTGTAAATGTGAACGCTATAAGGCATAATTATGTGATATCGCCCTGCAATTTTTATCGGATTCGTATCTGCTTATTTTTGCTAGAAATTCATTATTTCCAATATATCGTTTATGATCATGAAAAAATACGTTCATAATAATTAACGCACGCTGTACAGCGTATACAACTTAAGTTCGGATCGGATCGGATTACGAATTTTAGGGATTTTATAAACATTGTTTCGGATCGGATCGGATCGGATTTTCGGATCGGATCGGATTCTTGGATTGAGAACTTAGACAAACCATCGGATTGAGAGAGGTCAATCCGATCCGACGCACACCTCTAGATCATAGTATTCTATTAAGAAAACTTTATAATTATCTTTTTTCATCTTCGGATCGGATCGGATTCGGATTGAGAACTTAGACAAACCATCGGATTGAGAGAGGTCAATCCGATCCGACGCACACCTCTAGATCATAGTATTCTATTAAGAAAACTTTATAATTATGGAATAAGAGGAAAATCATTTCAATGGTTCCAGTCCTATCTCTCTGATAGAGTACAAATGTGTAAAGTTAACCAAACATGATCTAACAAAAGAATCGTTAAATGTGGTGTGCCACAGGCTCAAATCTTGGCCCATTATTGTTTTTATTATATATAAACGATCTTCCAAATTGCTTGTCTTCATCGGCTGCTAGCATGTTTGCCGATGATACAAATATTTCTACACATGGCTCATCAGCGGCAGAAATTCAGGAACAACTAAACCATGACTTAGACAACATACACCAATGGTTGCTGGCTAATAAGCATACTTTGAATAAAGAAAAGACCGAATATATGGTAATTGGGTCTAGACAAAGATTATCTAAAGTATTAAATGAGCCGGAAATCCACGTAGGCGAAACAACAATTAAACGAGTAAGCTATTCTAAAACTCTAGGCGTTGTTATAGATGAGAATCTTACTTGGGAAAGGCAAATCGAAAACATACAGACTAAAATCTCAAAAGGTATCTGCATGTTACGGCGAATGAAAAAAATAATTCCTAAAACAACATTGAAAAAAGTATATAATGCCATCATATTACCACATTTCGACTACTGCAGCCTTGTTTGGGATAATTGTAGTGATTATTTAATTGACAAACTTCAAAAACTGCAAAACAGAGCGGCACGTGTAATCACTGGCAGAACATACGAAACAAGATCACGCGATGTTTTGAAAGAACTACATTGGCAGCCCTTGAAAGAACGCCTTAAGCACAAAAAACTATTTTTTATGCATAAGGTAAGGAATAATGAACTGCCAATTAGTATGATGAATATGTTTGATATTAAAACAAACTCGCGGTATAACCTCCGTAGCAACAATCGAGATTTCACCCTCGACAAACCAAGTACAAATTTTTTGAAGAAAAGCATAAGCTATACAGCCTCTTCGGCCTGGACAATTTGCCTCTTGAGGCTAAAGGTTCAGGAATTACTAGTCAGAAATTCAAGTCTATTCTTGATCATCATTCCTCGCGTTAAAGTGTATGCACTTAATCTAAATTTAATTAGTGCATTCGTTTGTAAGGGGGAGGGGGAGTAGGGTTAATCGTTTTATATTGTTATATATGCATGCCTGTAGTTCTACTTATCTGTATTGTATTGTATATTTATATTATGTAATATTTTTAACCAAACGGCCTCTTGAAAAACAGGTGCGCAAGTGCCCTGAAGAGCTACCGTTTCTAAATAAGATTAAATAATAATAATAATAATCATACTGTATTTTATATATTATATTATATTATTAATCTCGAAACGTCAGTGTTGTCGTACACCACTGTCTTTAGAAGGTAACTGTTTCCAAAACTCTAAATCCCGCTGAGAAACGTCCAATCTCGGAAACTCGGAAGTCCCTTCTCGGCCATCGTAAATTCCAAATAAAAACTACGTATATACGAACACTTTAGCCATTGTAAAATCATAACTACAACGATATTTTCCATTTATATTAATACCATAAAATTATATGTAGCTATAGAGGCTTGAATGCTTTAGCTTATATACATGTCGTGTTTGTAAGAAAAATCTAACAACTACTGTGTTTCCAACATAAAGTAGACCAGATGAATTTGAACTATAACCACATGTTCTAAATGAAGATAACCACATGTTCTAAATGAAGAATGTATCTTCCCACTCACAGAGCCTTTATTAGAGAGTTTAAGCTTCGCGTTAATGCGTTATACGGCAAACGCCAGGCAAATTTTACCGTATCAGGCAATAGAGTATATGAACTTGCGGTGTTAAAACTGCAATCAGTGCAATGCATGACTATTCTTTCGACATAAGAAAATATGAAATGAAAACGTTTAACGGAAATTTTGCGAAGAAAGTTCAAATCTGCCGTTTGCCGTTCCGGGAAACGCGAAGCTTAAGAAAGCTTGCCTGTAAGAATCACAAAATGTGTGGCAGATATGAAAAACTGAAAGTTCTTCAATTTCCCTCGATTTTATATATATTGTAGACCTACCCAACCCCACACATTTACTGAAGTTTCAGCCATGAAACAAAAAATGAAGAAAAGTTAGAGCACTTCAAAAATCGAACCAAAAATGACGCGAAATGTCTAAGAAATGTCGCTATATAAAGCAGTCAACATCACGTGCTGTACTGAGCGCGCATTATAGGTTTTTGCTCTGCTGTTACAATATATGTCTTTAGAATATATGGAACTTTCTCGTGATATCTTTTCTCCATAAATCGAAACTTATTGACTTGGTTATTTGAGATCAAAGATGGTTGAAATTTCCGGGTTTTCCAAACTAGCCAAAGTACGTCTTGTGAATCGCCTATTTAAATATGGTCCTACTTTCTTTATAAATGTACATATGTATAATTTGTTAGGGCTAGGATTTTAGTCATTCGACGACGATTTCAAATGTTTGGGATTCTTTTGTGTCTTGGCGAAATTTGCAGTTAAACATGTACAATATTAGCGTAATGGGCAATTCCAGATATAGACTAAATTTTGATTTGGCAAGAAAAACAAAATCCATCAGCACAGCTAGAAAGAGCGTGTTAAAATTACAAAGTTTCGTTTCAAATGAGGAAAATATAGCCGTGCGAAATTTGCAAATTTTGTATTAATTTGTCAGTACGCACGGGAATTTGCCCCCACTTTCGGCCCAAATGTGATATACAAAATTTGCAAATTTCGTAGGGCTATTATTTCCCTCATTTCACGACATTTCGTGGCCAAACTTTGCAATTTTACTAATTTTAACATGCTCTTTATAGATGGATTTTGTTCTTCTTGCCTAGATCAAAATTTAGTCTATACTAGAAAATACATGCATGCAGAAACCCTCGCCTTGCTGACAAAACCATTGTATTTTCCGAACATGAAGTTCTAAAGTAGTTGTCATGGTAACACGATAATTTTTTAAGAATATTCTTACAAATGAAAAATCGCCTAAAAATATCACTTTTAATTATAAAATTATTAATTTCCCAACATAAATATATGTTAGGTATGTTTTTATACGTAATATAAGCCTCAATTTAAGGTAAAATTCAACCACAAACGCTTCGCAAAACGTTTTAAAGTCGCTAGTGTTCATTATAAAACTAAACTGCCTTTTAAAATGGCTTTATCGATAAACTTTGAGTTAGCAATAAAATGATTTCAAATTCTGGCTGGCAAATAACTCAGTGCTTTCTTTTTTATTTAGAAATTCAATATCATAAAAAAGGGAATCAATATTAAAGATACACTAAAAGTGTATGCTGTTTGTTTAGTTGTTTCATATTATATTACGCAAAGGCCGTCGGGTTTTAAAGCCATTATAAAATCAATATTTAAAACAAACTTACCTTCGTTAACGTCGGCTCCCTTCTTTTAAACGATTCTTTCGCAGTTTCATCGCAAAGGCCGTCGGGTTTTAAAGCCATTATAAAATCAATATTTAAAACAAACTTACCTTCGTTAACGTCGGCTCCCTTCTTTTAAACGATTCTTTCGCAGTTTCATTTTGAGAGAGCTTTTGAAATTTACAAAATCTTGCAAAAATGCGAGTAAAAATGAAATATATTTGCAAGAAATTTATCAATCATCAAATCAAGAAATGTTTGCTGAGGGCCCCCTATACTTTTTGCGTGAAGCGTGATGGGCTTATTTTACTTAGCCGTGAAACGTGATCGATGATTTTCTTAATCCGTGATTCGTGATGGTATGACTTCCAATCTTTTTACGTGCACGTAAAGGAAAGATTCGATTTAACCGTGACCCGTGAATGGCAGATAGAAATATTCGTGATTCGTGAATCTTCTGTTTTGTGACCTTTTGTGTGATCAGCTTTCCAAAGAATAAATACGGTTTGTTGCTGTTTTTTGAAGTACTTGATGTACAGAAGTCTGTTTTCGACATAGTTGGAGGTTTGATGTCGAGGTAAGTACAGACGAGTACAATGATTCTACAATTAAGGAAGACATCCTATAATAATTCGTGAACTTTGTTTTATTTTTACGTGAATCGTGATCGCTTCGATTTTTCCGTGAACGTGAAGGAATTTTTTCAATTTTTCGTGACTCGTGAAAAGGCAAAATATTTTTACGTGAAAGCATTTTGTGAAGAGGTATAGGGGGCCCTCTTTGCTATTTCGCTGTCGTGATACATTCGTGCCAGTCGTTATAATGCAAAATTTAAATTGGACCAATCAGTGTCCGCTATTCATGACAGTCCGCCATATTTTTGAGATCAGTGAGGATGACCACCCATCGTTGGTCACCCACGCCCGCGATATTTGATGAACTTTAGACTCCGCCACTGGAACGCTACCTCCAATAGGATTGGCTTATGATCGGATGAAGCCAAATTTTACCTCCAGCCGCGCGTGTTCTACCTCCAGACACGCGCGTTTGTGTTGCGAGACATTCTCGCGAGACCATTTCGGCAGTGACTTGAATGTTTTTTCTTGGGCGAATGGGTCGAAAATTGTCGTTTATTTAGGGTTTTAAGCTATATTTTTGTATTAAAAGTGTATTTAAAACATATCTTGAACTCTACCGACTAAAATTGCAAGGAAGAAAGTAACTGATTGGAGACAACAAGTGCATATTTGAATGACTGGAACGTTTATATGCAGATGAAACTTGAGAAAGATAAGTAATTCTTTATCTTAACGTATTTTAATATGTTTAAAAACATATATTTATAACAACTTCATTGATTGTTAAACAAGATAAGTTTATTTAATCTGTATCTATCACTTAGTTTGCCTTCGTTGACGACTTGTTCTGTGTATTTCTTGCCGAATGTGAATAATCGCGACATGAAATACTTGTCCGCGAAAAAAACTTTCTTAATGTCTTTAATGTTTATACTTGTTATTTTGTACCTTTAAAACTTAATAAATACTCTACTACAAAACATAATTAAACTGTGGTTGGTAGTTTGATGTTGTTAGAATACCTTTTTTCCTAACTTTCAGACGAATAAATTGGAAAACGAATGAGCAAAATTGGGAAATTCACACAAATACTTATGATTAGACCACGGCAAGCTCCACTCCTCGCTCAACGTTTTTTTTTCAAAAAAGGAAATTTAATTATGAATTCTACACAAATAAATTAAAAATATTTTACTCTAGAGTTTTGAAGGATGTTTTTATTGTAAAAAATGTACTGGTAGGTGCATTTTACGTCGTTTTAAATCATGTTTTAGTGCATTTTTTTTTTACCCAGTTTTGGAAATTTAGAAAACCCGCGTTCATTTCCGTTACGTGAAAAGACTGGGCATGACAACGGTGGGCATGCCTGGGCATGGCTTCACATTTCCGGCTGGAGGTATCGTTCCA